AAATGTCACATTAATACTTGAATTTTGAGCTAGTCCTACCTCGCCGACTTTTCCTCTATCTCTTTTCCTTTTTTTTTCATACTTTCTTCTCTTTTTTTTTTTTTTTCCTATAGTCTTTTTTTGTTTTTCTTAACATTTTTTGATAGTTTTTTTTTTTTTAGAATATCTTTATTTAAAATACTTTATTTTTCCTTCTTTGTATTAATCAAGGCGCCCTTTACTGTGCAACCCCCAGAAAACTCAACTGGTGGAGTACGTTTTTAGACGCCTTCAGATTCGCATTTTGTGGTAGAATAGATATGGTTGTTTCAATATCTCTTTTTAAATTCACTACAAAAATTAAAGAGTTGTAAGGCCTGTTTAGTTCACTGATTTGAGTTGAGATATAATTTTATGTGAGAATTTTTTATTGTAGTAAAAAACTTAGATGTGACTGTTTTTTAGAATTTTTTACTGTAGCAAAACTCAAATTCTAAACTTAAATCGGTGAAATGAACGGGCCGTAATGAGTTTTTATTATAATGGACTCACGTTCTTTTTCCTTTTCTTTTTCTTTTTCACCCATCTTAACACTTTAGGGTCCGTTTAGTTCGCTGATTCGAGATATGATTTTATATAAGAGCTTTTTACTGTAATAAAAATGTTAGACGTGACTGTTTGTGAAAACTTTTTACTGTAACTAAACTCAAATTAGTGAAATGAACGAGGCCTTAACTGTTTTCCTCTCTCTCTTTACAACCCTCCAAACGTCATTTTGTGACATAGCCACGACAACTCATTTGAGCAAATTATCCTTCCCATGGCAAAGCTTGTTGCTTCTTAGATTTTTTTTTTTCTTTTCAAAAACTAAAAAAAAAAAAAAAATGGTCTTCCTTCCTATTATTCATCATAACACCGCCGGCCCTAACAATCTTCCTCCAGAGTCCTCCTTTCCGTGTCTCCACTTTAATTTCTCTATCTCATCTCTTTTCTTTGGCTCTCTCTTATTTTATTGACCACCTCAGTTGCTTTAATCAACCAACATAAGAAACATGTATTTTGAGGAGATTTAGTTGATGAATTTAAAATTATAATTTAAAATTATTCTTAATTTATGTGTATTTTTTATAAAAAAAAATATTAGAATAAATCACGAATTATAATTTAAACCATTTAAAATTATTTTTAATTTATGTGTATTTTTTATAAAAAAAAATATTAGAATAAATCACGAATTATAATTTAAACTATGATACGAATCTTTAATGATTTAATTAATTGGTGTACGCCTGACTTAAAAGCTCAAAGTAAGAAGATCTCAATTGTTCGTTCATGAAGTTTTCCTCTGTTTTTTTTGCTTTTTTTTTTTCTTTCTCCGTGAAAGAGATGGGTATGAAGTCAATTTGGCCCTCAACACTGGTACCCAAACGCTGGCAATGGATCTTTCCTTTTCGCGTTTTCTTCAATTTCGTTTATGTATTTGATTTTATAATTTTGGATTTTACGATACTCTAGTTTTGATTAAGATTGTGTTTGGATTTGGATTTGTGCTTTGATTTTGTGCGAGTAAAAAGGTTTCTTTGAAAGTTTTGACTTTGATATTCTGGTTATGCACAAGAATCTTTGGTCATTTTGGTATCGTCAAAATAAAAAAAAAAAAACTTAGGAGACGTTTGGTTCATAAATTAAAATTATAAGATTAGAATTATTTTCAATTTACGTGTATTTTTATAAGAAAAAACACTGTAACGAATCATGAATTATGATTCAAATCATAATATAAATTCCCTTACCAAACGTCTTCTTAAATTTGTGAAGGCTATGAATAATAAGCCCGCACCTCAAACTAATTGACTACTTAGTCAACAACTAATTGCTCCACTAGTGGGACAAAACAAGGGGATGCACCATAAAGATTGCCATTAATCAAAACAATTCTTTTTACATACGGAGAATTTTAAGATTGAAAAAATAAAATTATCGGTAGTTATATTTTTTTAGCCGTTAAATTTGCATTAGAAATGTTTATTATGTATATTTTTTCAATTTGATTTGATTTTTATTAGATCTAATAGTTAAAAAATTGATCTTATCAGTAGAATAACATATTGAAAAAACTCCCTTAAATGTGTCTCTACTTAAGTTTCTTTTTTTCTTTTTTGGTCAAAAGCTCCTACTTAACCTTAATTTTTTTTATGTGAATTTTTAGGTACTTTTTTTCTTTTACTCCAATTATTAGACTTAACTTTTAAGGAGACTACCTGTTTTAAGACATAATCAAACTTATAAAATTATTCTTCACGTGTTTTACACGTTGTCCAATAAGTTATTTTGAGGGCTCTAATTTATTATAAATAGTCCTAAATCAGTAGCTTGTCTTTTATTTTTACAAAAAAATGCCCGTAACTTCATAAACTATTCTCCGCCTTCCTCATATTGCACCTTTTTCTGCGAATTATGCTGTTTTAAACTTTTAAACACCTATAAAAAGAAAATTGTTCAATCTCTAGCACTTTCAACACGCACCAAAGATCCAAAACTCTTTCCTTAGGCACAACATTATCAATTATTTGTTTCAAACAAGTTTAATACAAAAGAAGACAGTCTCTGGTAGGCCGTCATACCAGTAGAACTAGTTTTCTGATTGTTATATATGGTTAAAATCAAATGAGATTGAAAAAAATATGCATAATATATAATTTCTGATCCAAATCTTACGGCTGAAAAATGACAAAAAAATAGAACTACCGGTAGTTCTATTTTTCTGGTCATACAGAAAAAAAAAACTCTCATACAAAAGAATGAAAGAAGAAAATGCAAAAAATTTTGAATGGGAGATAAATATTTAAAGGAGCTAGTGGGCCCGAGGCCCAGTTATACGACAAGATTATTAGTAACCATTGAATAAAAAATAAGAATATGTAAATTGTACACCTTATTTTATTATGTTATTTCCTTGGGATTGTAGTTCGATTGGTCTGAGCACCGCCCTATTAAAGCGGAAGCTGCGGGTTCGGGCCCTGTAAGTTCCGATGGATCCAAATCCAACAAAAATGTACAGCAATTCATATTCCATATTGATTATTACCATCCGCCCATCTATCGGGGCCTCACCTAGCTCTGCCCCTATGTATGAACGTTCTTTTTATAAGTTGCTGATGAAAGATCGATGTTTAACATTGTGTTCTTCCAATTGAAGTAGGAACTTGCTCCGGTAGGCCGTCGTATCAGTAAGATCAGTTTTCTAAACATTGGCCGTAGTTATCACTGATTGAATGTGGTATATCACTAATAATTTATGGTCTATCAATGATTGATTAAAGTACTATTTTGTCTTTTAAGATCTTTAAGTCTAGTAAAATGGCCATTGACGTAATTTTAGAAAAGTTAGGCTATCCATGTAAATGAGAGTAAATTTAGCAAATCTCGGATCACTAAATTTAGGGTCTGTTTAGTTCGCTGATTCGAGTTTTTAATTCAAGTTGAGATGTGATTTTATGTGAGAGTTTTTTACTGTAGCAAAAAAGTTAAATGTGACTGTTTCTGATAGCTTTTTATTGTAACAAAATTTGAATTTTAAATTTAAATCGGTGAAATAAACGGGACCTTAATTATAAGACATATCTAGAAAAATTCAGAAATTTTCAGTCATGGAGTAAATTTGGTATTGAGATAAATCCTAGATTTTCTAAATAAATTTTGGATTCATTCAGCAAAAAAAAAAAAGAAAAAAGGAGTCATGGGCATTTACTACTATTTACTAACTCCTCAAATATTCTTGCAACTAATTATTAGTATGTCCAAAAAATATTATTTACCTCCCATTTTTAATCTATATTGGGGGTCGGTCACTGTAATAGGGATGCTACTCTAGATTCCCTAATAAATACGTCAGAATCAGCATGAGCGATGATGTTATTGCAATGAAAAGAACTTTTGCAATTATATAGCCAAAATATCCGTAGCTATGACTGGCGGTATCATACTAGGTTGCTGACAGTAATCCACTGCCTACAGATGTTTGATTCATATATTAGAATTATGATATTAAAATTATTTTTAATTTACGTGTATTTTTTATAAAAAAAATATTATAACAAGTCACGAATCATGATTCAAATTAAGAACCGAATCTCCCTTCTAAACGTCCCCAAAGACATGAGCTCGACTCCGATAAGAAGTAGCAGTTGGAAGGTTACATTGGGAGAAAAGAGACCAAAACAAAGATATGAGTACATTATCAAATATATATATATATATATATATATGATTACGTGTTAAAAGTTTTTTTTTTTTTTTTTAAAAAGACGAATTGTCCTCCCTCACTAGCAAGCTATTACTCCGTTTTTTCAAGTATTTTGCAAGATAACTTGTGACATTATGACATTAAATTATTATTGTTATTGTTTATTATAGTTTAAAAGAGCTCATGCCTTGTGTTGTTGTGTGACATATTTTTAAGAGGAGAGAAAAGAAAAGAAAAGAACTCGTGACATAAAAATGAGGAAGGAAATAAACAAATAATACGTAAAACACTATTATTTAAATACCACTTTTATCTTTTTATACAAATATTTAAAACACCTCCCATCTTTATAAAATCTGACTCAAAATATCTCCTAAAATAATTAAACTTTTTAGAATATAAGATTACCCTTCCCAATTATTATTTAAAATAATTTAAAACATTATTAAACCAATACATTAAACAACATCAATCTTAAAGACTGAAAAACTCTCCAAGTAATTGAAGTATTTGTTTAGTTGAAATATTTATTTGACTATTTTTATATTTTTTATTTAACTTTTATGTTAAAATATATCTAAAATAATATTTAATATAAACTAAAAAGGGTATACTTGGTATTTTATAAATTTATGTTTGATTTTATGAATACATGGATGTTTTGAGTATTTGAAAAATAGGAAGAGTAAAAATGGTATTTAGACAAAACATAAAGGTGTTTTGGGTATTTTAATTAAAATAAATAAAAGAGGGAGGAAATAAAGATCCAAACGAAAGTAGAGAAGAAACAAGTAAACGAACGGTTCACGAAAGGAGAAGAGAGAATACTAAAAAAAAAAAAATCGGATTTCGGACAAAGCTTTTGACAATGGCGGGACTCTCAGAAGGACCCAAAAGACCACCGCCTCCTCCACCTAGAGGCCCTCGCTTCGAGCCCGTTGACCGCGAAAAGGTCATCTAGGGTTTCTTATTGTTCGATTTTTCTTTATAATTTCTTCTCCTCATTAAAATAATGGAGAAACTTAAAGACTGTATTTACGTTTGTTTTGAATTTTGACTTTCGTTTTATATATTATTTTTCCCCGCAGACTTGTCCCTTATTGCTTCGCGTTTTTACTAAGGTATGTTAGTTATTCGCATTTCACAGCTCTTGATATGAAATTGTGCGTGTTTTTTAATTCATATATATATATATTTAAGGAAAATTCTTTTGAAGTTTTGTGATGAATGAGGAAGTTTGATTGAGAAATAAGAACGAATTTGATGCTACTTAGGGTACAACACATAATTTGACCAGTAAAATGAATGTTAAATTTTCAAGAAGTTTGGGAATTACACCATTTATGTGAAATTGTCATAGTTTCGTGTTGAATTTGTATGGATTTTGATTGTTTAATTCTGTTGAGTTTCCTATAGATTGGGGGTCATCATGCCAATGAAGATTTTGCAGTGAGAGGAAAGGAGCCCAAGGATGAGGTTCAAATTTATACGTGGAAGGATGCTACTCTTCGTGAGATAACTGATCTGGTTGGGACTCTCTCTTTCTTTCTCTCTCTAGATTTTATGTTTGTTATGGGAATTCTTTTCTAAGAGCATTTAGACGTGTGTCACTGCCTAACTGAAGTTAGTCAACAGTCTCTTATTGATTATGGTGATGGGATTGGTTAATGTCATTGTTGTCTATAAATTTTGAAACAAGAGGGCGATTAGAAGGGAAGAGGAATGAGAAGTGGAATTTGGATGCACTTAGTCGTTATTCTTTCAATCTCTCTCTCTCTCTCTCTTCCCTATGCTTTGTTTGGTAGGACGAAAAAGTGGAAGGAGGGAGAGGGGTCAGGGGATTAGGGGAAGGACCCTTGGTTTTTTGGTAGAGAGAAAAGAGGATGGGAAGGATTGAACGATAGATTTCAAATCCTTCAAAAAACCTCAATTTTATTATCTCTCCAGATGTGGAGAAATTAGAGGAGGGAATCCATACGAAACACAATAATGGTTCTCCCTTTCCTCTCAATATTCCTCACCTAGGTTCCATCATTCTATGCCTTTCTCTCCTTTCTGTTTTCTTTCCCCTGTTACCAAATATAAGTTATATAAAATGAGGGCGGAAGATGGAGAAGGAGAAGGGCATGAAGGAGGGAAGATAGTCGAAGTAAGCTGCAATTCCATTAATAAAAACATCTTTCGTATAATTGTTAACAGAATGCACTTTATTCGTATTGGTTTTTCATCAATATAAAGCTTCTTTTCTTATCCAAAAAAAAAAAAGATTGTTAACAGAATGTGCTATGTCTCTATGAATAGAGTTATGCTATTACATTTATGATATGGGGAAAGAATAAGACTCCTTTTAAACTTTGACACCTATGTTGAGACTATCAACATGAATCTAGATAATGCATTGGTCGACATTCATTAAGATTTAAGACGTCCAAATTATTTATGGGTAAAACTTAAAAAAAAAAAAAAAAGCACAAAGAGAGTCTTCCAAAACTAGACACCTAAAATGTCTGTTTTCCTTCGGATGAAACTTAACAAAACTTGCTTGGAGTGTCTAAAAGCTTCTTCCATGTATGTACAAGTATATTGTGGAGTCTATGTTTCAAACCTTATGTGCTTTAATTAATCTGATATCTTTTACAGGTCAAAGAGGTAGCGTCAGCAGCAAGGAGACGAAATGCAAAACTTTCCTTTGCTTTTGTGTATCCTGATAAACATGGCCGTTTCTTGGTGAGAGAGGTTGGTGTTTCTGTCTCTCCTTCCCCCATGCTTATGTGTATGATCTGTGATGCTGGACCAATAAAGAATGAATTAGAGAGGGTTACGTTCAACTAAAGTTTTCTAATGCTTGACATGACAAAGCTTATCAATAGATAGGCAATCTTAATTTAACTAGGTACCTAAAAAGCCTAATTGAAATAAAAACCCAGTGAAGATGATACAAGTTCAAACAATAAATTAACAAATAATCTTAATTCATAAACTATATCAAATCTCTAGGAATTATAATTATCATATACTGCATCAATATGTAGATGTGTTCCTGCATGTTTCTGTCTTTGTAGATGATAATGCATGCATTTCTGCTATTTTTTCATTAAGGCTTGAATTTGCATCTTTTAGGTAAATGGAAAATGAATTGGTTTAATAGTATAATTACTTTGTCCTCGTATCTGACATGTGCGGATGTGTTTTTCTTGGATTTTCCTGGAATCTCGTTTATCCAGATAAACTTGTATGAATAGTGAATACAACTCAGGAAAACCTAACAATCGATAGATGCTTATGGTAAACACTTTTACAAATTGGGGAAAGAGTGAAGTGTACTAATATATGCTGAAACATGGATATAATTTGCAAGTCTGACTCAAATATCACTACAGGATTGTGGGTACAGCTTCTTTTCTTTATTATTTTTAGCTTAAGTTGTGGGTTCACATTATGATTCTACTATATATTAAGACCTTTATTACATTCAATCATATTTAGCCTCGTTGGGTTAAATACATATTTGAAAGTGTTGGAATTCTCATTGTCTTGCACTTATGCTTCATAAAGGTGGGGAAGACATTTTCATATGGAAATGGAAGATTAGATGACAACAAAGCATTAGCTGAACTTGGTTTTCAGGTAAACTACTATGCTTCTATTACCTTTTCATATAACTCGAGCTTTTTTCCTATCAAGTTCTCACAACTGCTTTTTCTAATTTTCTGTGCAGATTGGAGATTACTTGGATGTGGCTATATTGTAATGAATTCTCCTTCTATGTTGAATTTAATGTTTGGGTGTCCCCCAAATAGATCAAATTTTGGTATGAATTCTTGGCCCATTAATTTGTCAGCGTCATGTGGAGACCATTTGTTGTACTTTCCGATGTCATTTGAAATTCTAGTTTGGCAGAGGATGTTTGTTTACAAAAGCTAGTTAAAGTGTTGGATTAGCTTAGATTCCATTTTGTTTCATTTGATATTGTATTAGGTGTATGCATGAAGTCAATTCTGATTCTATGTTGTTTACTTTGATTCTTGAACAATCTGTCATTTTCCTTTGATGGCGTGATTAACATTGTAATTGTGTGTGTGACGTTGATTTTTCCCTGAGATATTGGTTTTTATCGGTTTCAATGGTGAGAACAAAATATAATAAGGATTACAAATAAAAATATCAAAATTCTTTTAAGTATAAATATTTGGATTTGCTTTTTATTATTTTATTATTATTTTTTTAGGGTTAGTGGAATTGATTTGCGTAGTTGAGAGAAGCTATCATATTAAATATTAATTGTTGAATTAGATAGATTTGGCATCAAATGTGCCTATTTCTATTTGCAAAGAGGATAAGAAGGGAGAGCAACTTCAATAATTTGGAGTCTTCTGATTGATTTGATTGCAAGTTTCTCTTGGAGCCATTTGCAAGATTGTCGGTGATCATCCATTATAATTTCGACTTGAAAATTACTTAAAATTAATTGTCTTCATTCCCTTAAAAATAAAAACAAATATTCTCCATCCAAAACGTACCCATCACGCGATGCGTACCAAAATTATATTTAAGAAAATGAAAAATGTTTTCCTATTACTGAATTTGTGTTGTATAAGCAAGTGCTACTTGCATAAACGAAAAAAAGGCAAAAAAAAAAAAGAAAAAAAGAAAAAGGAAAATAAATGAATAAGAGAGAATCGAGAGGGTCGCTTTCCATGTGTGGATAGAATTTTCTAATTGTTGCCGACAAAGTCATAGAATTATTATTAACAAGTTTGAAAAATGAATGCCACTATTATACAAATAAATTAATCGAACTTAACAAAGTACCATCATATGTAAAACCATGCACGATCTTTGACAATGAGGTCCGTGACCACTAAATCCTTAGCAAAGCAGAACTAAGTAAAGCCTGTTTTATATTTTCGTATTTATCCTTGTATTTCAATTGGGCCACTCGCCGCAAATCTCTCTCAACACATCACCATTCATCAACACGTTACACACACAAAAAGGGAAAAAGAAGAAGTAATAAATAAAAGAAAAGATCAACTTCAAGATATAAAAAAGGAAGAGGAAAACGTTAAACAGAAGGGAGAAAGAGCTGAGAGAAGAAAGAACTATTTATTCTTCCTGAGAAAGAGCTGGGAAAGATCAACAAAAAAGAAACATGCAAGACAAAAAGACAAAAAAACAATAAAACCAAACTAAAAAGAAGATGCATAACAAAAAGAGTTTTTTTTTTTAATTACACAAAAAATAAAAATGATGACTCTATAGTAAATTCTTAATTATTTCTTAAAATTTTATTTCCTAAAATGATTTTTTTTAAAAAAAAGTGTCAATTCTTTAAATTTTATTAAAAAAAAAACTCTCTCACCTTCTCTCAAGAGGTGTGACTAGGATTTTTGAGTTTGGAATTCATTTTTAGGGCTAGAGTTTGGCACTGCAGATGGCTGTCGCCGGACTCTTGACTCTTAAGAATGTGGGTAAAGTCATACAATCTAGTTTGCCGTTAATAGACGTGGTCCATGGGCAATAGAGGTATAGATATGGTGAGTTAGAGTAAGGTAGCGCCATTGCTCTAGGGTCTCGGTCCCCTAGTCGATATGGTTTTGGGAAGGGGCAATGGATGTCTTGGGGCGAGTGGCGTTGGAGGTGGAGGCATGGCGGATTTTTTTGGGGCAAGGAGAGGGAGGTTTCCGACGAATCTTTATTGTGGAAGCTTCGACGAATCTTTATTGTGGAAGCTTTGACGAATCTTTTGTCTTTGTCGCAGGTGGTCGTGATTCTTCTATGATGACTTTGTTCAGATCCAAGTTCTTTAGCCACCGTACCGTGATGGGTAGCTTGTTGCCGGCTTTTCTTCTCATTTGGCTGAGATCATTTATAGATTTCTTAATATTTTGTTCATTTTAATAAAGGTGTTGTTTTACGCCATATTTATGTATTATAATAACAGAGGTGGTATCTCCACATTTCGATTTTCATTGTGTGTCCCACTCGTTTGAGTTGGTTATCAACGGTGTGTGTATTCGTATATGACTAGATTTTTTTTAGGCCGCCGCGTCACTTGTTTCCCCAATATTCGAGATTTGGTCTCGGTTGACTGATTTCATCAATCGAACGTAGTGGTTCTTTATAGTGAGCTTTAGTAGCATTCGATTTTATTTGTACTGAGTGCGTTTTTTCCTGTTAGATTTCGACACTTATGTTTAACCCTATGTTTCATTCGTTTTCACTGTTGAATTTAGTCAATGTTCAGGTTCGAATTCCCTTTTAGTTGGTGGTTATTTGCGACTATTATTAAGTATGTAATTTGTTGGGCCCGTTTGTTTGCGTTTTCGTTTTCATTTTTCACGGTTTTCAAAGCAAAAAAATGAAAACGGGTGTTAAAAACGTGTTTGGTGCAATTTTTTTTAAAAAACAAAACCAAAAACGTTTTTGTCTTTTTGTGGAAATCAGAAAACGAAAAAAATGTGTTTTCATTTTCTTGTTTTCGTTTTCTGTTTTCTGAAAAACGGATTTCACTTTTTTTTCTTTTTCATTTTCTTCCCTCTTTTCTGAAACCGTTTTTGTATTATATATGTTTATTTAATATATTTATTTAATATATTATTATTTAATATATTTAATAATATTATTTATATAATATATTTAATAATATTATTTATTTAATATATTATTATTTAATATATTTAATAATATTATTTAATATATTTAATAATGTTATTTATTTAATATATTATTATTTAATATATTTAATAATATTATTTATATAATATATTTAATAATATTATTTATTTAATATATTATTATTTAATATATTTAATAATATTATTTA